CTGCAATATTTCTGATAAGCAGCAGGCGACAGAACGGGTCAAACCAATTTCAAACATCGCGCAATGTTTTTTTCCGACCGCAAAGTCAAATTTGTTTCATGTACAAGAACACTGAGGATAAACTTTTCTTCGGTCGCAGTCTAAGAGTACCATACAGGTCAATTCCCTGTCAAGGACAAAGGGAGGCAATCTCCCCTCCCGCCTGATCTGCCCTGATACTTTAAAAGGTTTACGACAATATTTCACGTTTCGTAAATTTGAAATATCTTTACAGTTTGGAGACAACTCAATCATCTACCATTCTAGCGAAACGGAAATGTCCAGACAAATAAAATGAATTGTCGTAAAAAGTAGAAGTAAAGCGGAATTAAAATTTCTGGTATATATATATATATATATATAGAGAGAGAGAGAGAGAGAGAGGCGGGGGAAGTCATATTACTTATTAAACATCATGATATATACATGCATTAAATGTATATACGATAAAACTTTCTGGAAACTTAATAATCCATCCTGGAAATAATACCCATCTAAAGTGTAATATTATATAGTTATGACTAAAACCCCTTTAACCACAAGCACTAAGGTAGAAGTTTTACCTGTATCTGCAGTGGCGAGTACAAGGGACGGAGGGAACTTGCAATTCCGTCTTGGGAGCGAACTGAAGTGGCGGATCCAAAAACTGGGGAATGGATCATTACACGACACGCGTGCTTCTGTCGTTTGCCAATGAGCGACGACCTACAACTACCTAGTATTATATACACACCTGACAAAAGGTATGAAATCGTTACCATGGAAACTCTTCATTTGCGATGCTACCTGGAAATCTGTTTTTCTCGGGTAAATGATCTGTTATTGGTTAAAGCAGGGACTTTGAATTAGTGGTGTTAGAATTCCGTGTGTGTCTCATGACGTACGGAGACAGCAGACTAGTAATTATACAGTGGCTGAAATCAGATGCCCTCCGCCCAGTAGAATGTCACTAACTAAACATGACTTTGATTATATACACTATAGGTTCAAGAAACATTGTCGTTAGTTCACTCGTATCCTAGTCAGTTACAAACCACAAAACGATAAACTAAAAAAAAAACCTTGTATCATGTTTAATGTAATTTGTATAAAATTATCATTAACTCACTATGAAAATCACGTTGTTCTATTGATAACGAAAAACCATCCAAGAGAGAGAGAGAGAGGGAGAGTATATAGTCAAACCATGGTAGTAAAAAGCAAATTCATTATGGTGGTTTAGAATTAAATATATTATAAAGCTATGCATAAAATTTAGCCCCATATTTAAGTCTACATGAAAGGTAACAGGAACATATTATTCAGTAGTTCAGTATGCTTTTTTTTTAATTATTACTTCATGTTGTTCACTAACTCTTTTGTATTTTTTTTTCTTTACAATATATCTTATACAGAAATTCTGTGGTAATTTTTAGCATGCTATCTTATTCAGTAATTGTACAGTAAGTTTAAAACATTAAATTTTATAAGAAAATATCTTGTAAATTATGAAGCATGCCTCAGACTTCTTACATTACATACTCTTGTAAATGCTGTAGTAAATGAATTTATTATTAACGATACATTTTGAGTCACAAGTTACAGGAATAAAATACAAAATTCCCAGATTGTATTATAAGAGACTCACATAAATACTCGGAATATCTCGTCATCTTTTGTTTGTATTGGTTCTCTGATTGTATTATAAGAAACTCACATAAACAATCGGAATATCTCGTTATATTTTGTTTGTATATGTATTGATCTTTTTCCTTTATGTCTTTTTTTTAATAAATGTGACATTCTATACAGTAAACTGGTTGATTCTCTTTATTCCGTATGTTAGGTGAGTACGTTTCCGGCGGCGGTGCTCGGTTTATGAATACCGTGGACCTTGTCGCTTGTTTTTGATATGACTCACAATACATAGGAAGTGTGCGGGCAGTGATTTTACAGAAATCGATAGCTTGCATAATTCTATGGTAATGCCAGTCTTTTGTGTTAATTTTAGTAAGTAGAATATGCATATTCATTGAACCTCCAAGAGATAAAACATAATGGTTAAACATGCCTTGTAGAAATAACAGGAACTTTACTGCAGGTTTGAATTTTATCCACATCAATACGACAAGAATACAAATAAAGAATACAGTAAAAAGTATCCTCCAACCTCTATGAAAAGTCTACAATCAAAACGTTCCTATATTATTATTGAAATAGAGAGAGAGAGAGAGAGAGAGTTAGAGAGAGCACACTAAATGCTGTAGTAATACATGTATACTGTATATATGCTAAATATGCATAACAAAAAATATTCCCAGTATTTCGGTAAAAATCACGCACATTCTTAAAAATAATAAATTCAATGTTGGTGGAAAGTGCATGCTCTTTCGGAATTTGTTACCTTATTCCTAAAACGGAATACCAAAACTTTTTGAAAAAAGTATTAATTGATAGAATTACACTCTCTTATACCATAACAAAACACCATCTGACAGATTCTGTGATGTATTTCTGTTTACTTTGGTATATACTATACAAAAGTGAACGACCTTGGGTTTTCTTTATCTCCAGAACTTAATTTAAGCATCTTCCGAAAAATAAGAGGCTGTTAAGTTTTGTCTGAGTTTAATTAAAAGCAAAGCCGATTTTTGATCGATTTCAACTGTCTTCAATTTATTCACTTCTTCTGAAGAAAGGAAGAGTCTAGAGTGCTGATTTTCGCTTCACAACATACCTCTGCTCATGTGATGCTACTCCAAACACCGTTAGCTAATATAAACGATGAGGGAGCGCGCGTGCAATTAATTTAACGCACAATATAAACTTTGACTTCCGTACAACGCGCCGGAGAGTAAACTTCCGCCCTGGATGCTTCTTTCATTAGATGATATACAGGTACAGGTTCTATTGCCTTTATAGGCAATCTTTTAACCACATTTAGATCATCTGTTAAAAGTGTAATTTACAACTATCTGATTCGTGTTAATTTTTCGGGTCAGATTTGTTCCACATTATTTTACAAACCCTGGGGGAATATGTTTACAATGAGGGATAAGAGGTTATATGGGATTTTAAAAGGTTCGAAAAATTAAAAACAGATTCCAGCCATTATTTCTGACATACATGCATTGCTTTCATACAGAATCTGAGAATGTACTGAATACTTAACATACAGTGTTGGAATTCATTTAGAAATCAATTAAAATACAAAGAAAAAAGTTTCTATATGAAAAAAAGCGAATAAATGAATTAAAAAAAAACAAACAAAAACGAAATACGCATCGCACAAATAAAATGGATCTCAAATTAAAGGGCAATAACTCTCGATCTGTGCCATAATTTACTAACAAGCATCAAAGTGGAAGACTTATTACATTAATGTATATCATGACAGCAACTTCTTGTGAAAATAATAACTGTATGAAATTGTATGAAGAATGTTTTTACATTCCTTATCTTTTTAACTATATAAAAAGTACTTAACTTACAATATCAACTGTCCGGCGCTTTTCTCCCAGCATATTTAAAGGTACTTCTTAAATGAACACTTAAAATTGTAACGAAGAGCTCACTAAGTCTTATCTTTGAGAAGATCTATATAAATTATCTACATGTATATAGATTATCTGTATAAATTATCTATATAAATTATCTACATGTATATAAATTATCTGTATAAATTATCTACATAATTACAGTCACTGTGTCTGAATTTACTAATTGAAAGTAGTCGCTTTATCGAAAAGAGAAAGACCAGCTCTATCCCTGAAGACAGGATGCAGATTTGAATAGAAATTATTTGTTTCCCAAGCACCGCGCGTGTTGTGTCAACATAAAATCCACTTAATATCGGTTACGGAGAACGGAAAACAATAGCACATATTCCACTGTAAGCTCGTTTTTCTTGATTAGAGGAAGAGTTATCTCTCTTTTCCCACAATCCATGCATTCGAAGGAGGGGTTGAAGGGTACAAGAGATAAAAAGAAATTTGTCTTACGATTTCAATTTTATCTGCGCTTCTGCTCGTAAAGTGCAGTTACACAAGAAAGGGAAATTTAATTACTTTTTTGATTCATAGTTTGTGGGTGAATCTTACCAGAACTGATAAATACACGACAAGGCATTTCTTCTTCAACAGCTTACAAACGCGCTACACTACAGTGTCCGGGGAGTTGTAAATGAACTCGTGAGTTAAATCTTGCCACAGCTCGATTTTACAATGAACATGCTTTTGGGAAGTAACTTGTCGGTAAAATCGAATTACTGTTGGATTAAAAGGTAATAAAAGTCCAGGCCACAGTCATAAATTCAGTGGATTATCAAGGGAATTTTAAAACATCAAAGAGTTAAAGTAAATGAGGTTTATGAACTAAATATCTTTTTACTACCAGGAAATAATTTACATTGTATATACTGAATCACTCAGTATAGAAAATGGCATACTAGTATTTCAACACTTTCTTTATATAATCTAATTAACAACAATATATGGAGGATTTAGAAGGCACGTTGACCTGTATAACGAGAGAGAGAGAAAGAGAGGGAGAGAGAGATGAAAAATATATAAAAAGAAAAATTTTCAATTACCACTGTGATAAGATGATATAAGAAAGCTTTGTTAGTATTGTACGCCTGTCACCGTCAAAAGAAACCAAAAAGATGTTTATTTAGCGAATACATTTAAATAGAGACAAATATATTTAAAAAAAAATAAATATACATGTAGATAAATGTATTGGTTATATTTAGATGGATATAAATATATAAGAAACACTTAAATAGAGATAAATATATTACACTGTTTAAATACTGATAAATATGTTATATACATTTAAGTAGAGATAATTGCTGTATATTAAATGCATTTAGATAGAGATAGTTATATTATATACATTTCAATACAGATAAATACATAAGATACATTTAGATAGAGATAAGTAAATAAGATATATTTAGAGATAATTATATTACTACTCACCCCTGGTAAGGTTTTCTGTTCGTGTAAAGCCTGCTGGGCTTTGAGGGCGCTCTCTTTGTGACAGTAAGTCAAAAAGGCACATCCTATTAGTTGTTAAGGAAATTAAAATAGATACATTACTTGATAAATCTATTACAAAGAGCGAAATAACAAAACTATACAAGATGGACATGTATTCGTAAAAAGTAAGCTATTGAATAAGAACAGAAATTTCTTATTGTAGCCAAGCTGTAGTGCATGAAACCTGTTTATTTTAACGATAGTTTGTTCCTGGAACGCACATGCAGTATCCTTTATTTGTTGAATTTTTTGAAGCGTGTTTGACTGTCAGGACCTTACTAGTAATCTAAATTTATCAGATAAGCAAGATATTACGGTAAGCACCGTGCCTTGACCCCCTGTTATGCCACGGTTTCTAAGTGGTCTGCTGTACGCGTTGGAATACAATTTCGATTCAGACCTCTCGCAAAAAAAGTGATGTACAAATATACTCTAAAACACAGACACATGTCAGATATTACTGGAGTTGTAATAAAGAACAAAACTGAAAAATAATGAAATAATCGAGTTAACATGAAAGTTTGGGATTGTTAAAGCTTTTTACTGCAATCTTAGCCGGTCATAAATCGTCACAATCGATGCCTCCTCGCCTGCTTTTAAGCAAACTCCATTTCCTCGTCGTGATACGCTGTTTACGATATTGACAGGCAAAAAGCTTTAGCTAAAAGTTAACATAGGACTTTACATTGTCAGCAGAAAAGAATCCTCCCTAGTCATCTAAAATACAGTTTGTGAGAAAACGTATAATATATATATATTGAATACATTGCTGACATAATTTCTATCTACAACAGTTATGATTCAGATACTTCAAGATATAAATATGTAAAAGGGTTATAAGTGATTGTTTTTCTTGTAAAAAATAAAATATAATCAAATCTAAAATCTATCTGCTCACAGGAGAATTTATCGTATCATAACGAAATTAATTGTCAGGTGAAAATTCCGAGATCCGCCCTCCACAACTTGCCAACACGAACGACTGTTTACCAAGCAATGTGTGCAAACTTCCAGCAGTAACCGGCCATCTGTTATGTTTTTAGGGGTATTTTCACACAAAAAGCTTACAGCTATAGCAAGTTGCACTGACTTCTAATTATTGCTGCATTCAGTGGGGTAAAGTAAGGAATTCTAAATTTATTTTAGGAAACCTAAAAAAATGTTTCTTGCTTTGTCGATGGCGGCTTGACATTTGCCCCAAAACATGGTAGTAGGTAGCCATAATATATTATACTCCACTTTTGACTTCTACATGTAAGCGCTCTCGACTCTACTTTAGCTTTCTCTTGCATGGTTTAATGTCCAAATTGCAGTGAAAAAGAAACCAAGATTTTCCATTTATTTTTAGACTAAATTACCCTCAATGCACTGCACACTATGCAGAGTGATTTCCATTTTCATTTAGAATTGAGGAAACTGAAATATAATGAAATACACTTTTTGTTACCACTTAAGTATTCTGATATACTAGACCAAGATAAAGTAAATGAATACTTTATTTGCATGTGTTTTCCCCATTTACGTAATTTAAGCAGCGTGGTTTTTGGACTTTTTCCCTGGTGAAGAATGCCATAAATTTTCACCTTTATACGATATAATTTTCCCAAAGTCCAAAACATGAAATGTTAAGATTTTTCATTAGTGTGTAGGGGGTCCTTAAATAATGAGGTAAATGGACCATTTCTCGAGTATGAAATTGGCTAGTATGTAGTATACTCTTTCCTTTAAACACTGGAGTTTTGAACACTAATTTCAACAGTTTTACCATGCCGTGTCGCTGTATCATATGCATTGAGATCGAATACTTTAGTCATTTCTTAATGTTTGTATACACTTACGTATATCCTTTTACTAAACATCACTAATATACTTGCAGGTTATATATTTGAAGACACTTTGTTTCGCCAATAAGACAAGGTAGTCCTCTGTCTGGACAAGACGGAGAGCTAGCTACTTCGGTCCCGTCATAGATTACTTCTCCATCATAAACGCCTTCTGTCGATAGTCCAGCTTAGTCAAGGGCTGTATTTACCAAGACTTGTGATTTCCAGGGCATCTCTTCTAAATTTTCTTTGTTTCAAGAGCGCAAGGGTTATCGATTGGGGACATCTGGTCCCGTATATTGATGTCGACCAGATAAGGTGCTTTGACAAATTATATAAAGAAACCTGTTAAACTTTAAATATTTATAGATGCCACAAAACTTCTTTAAGACGAGAAAAATAACTGAACTTTCAATTTCCAATTTTTTAATGGGTTTAATATTGATTGACTTATTTGCTAAATATAACACCTGTGCAAAGTAATCAGTGTAAAATATTTTGTGTTTGCGTATGCATGATGTTCGTATAATCAACTTGAAATTTTCTAAAAGCTATGTCTCTGACTTGTCCATGACTTTGACGTATTAAGTTGAATTAAATGTCTGTGATAAATATGATAATCACGTGGTATTGTGTTCTTTTCAAAAGAAACCGGAACCAGGGTGTTGCTGATGTTGGAGACACACCACAGCTAAAACCAGGAAGCGTTCAGAACAAGTCGACGGATTGGAAGCAAACGATTAGTTAAACAGATTACTGTAATACGCAAAAAACAGAGTCTATTCATGACTGCAGAATCGTGCATCACATAATATTATTTCTAAAGGTTTTAATAATTCATAGCAAGTCATATTGAATAAATGACATTTATTTTAGTCTACCATTCATATTCAGTTCATTGAATAAACAAAATCTAAAGAAAATTTATTGAATTGGCCTAAGTCTGCGAGTTCTTGATTAACTATCTCTAGGTCAAGTACACGCTTTGATCCTCCAGGAATTTTGTCAATTTCAAAACTTCTGCTTGGATTCATTATGTCAGTTTCATCTGGTACCAGGGGTTGACGCGTGTCAATATCTCGGAGTGACACTGCTATGTGATGTCTTAATCTGTCGATGACGTCATAAACGTCAATTACCGGAATTGGCAATGGACATTCTGTTAGAGACAGGATTTAAGTATTTTCCATATAATTAGGAGAACCAAGACTTGCGCTAAGATATATCATGGCTCTATGACAAAAGTCATGTATATCCTGGGTTTAGTCCCCCAAAGAGAAGTTTTACGTAAACATATATATAACAATTAACAGTATTGATTTTCACACATCAGTATTTTTAACTTATCTAAACCCGAATGAACGTCATAGTTAAAAAGGTATTTCTTTAACTCAGGTGTGTGTTATTTTTACGTTCGAACAGTACAGAAAGGTACACTACACAAAGGTCAAAAACCCCATGAAAAAATGTTCTTTCTATCTTCCATAACTGATCTTGAATATGTGTATATTGTATCAAAAGTAAGTGTCAAAGGATGTCTATTTGTTTTGTGACCTCTTTACTGGATATACCAGCACTCTTTAGAGATACTTTACACCAAATGATTTGAAATTTTCTCTCATGCGTTTTTTAAAACTTTTTCCAAATGGAAATCAAAAGAAAATTATCCCACTAAATGTCTGACTAACAAATATGAAAAAAAATCTTTTAGCGGACATAATCAGTTTTCAACATGTAATTGTGTTTAAAACAATAAATAACAAAAATACCCATCGATATTAGCCTGCACAAGAGTTATTGCCCTTATAACCCTCCAGCTGATAACCTTGGATCCGCCTATTTTAAAAGTTTGATAAATTATTGATCTCGGAGCCAGTTACTTGTCACTGAAGATGAGGATTATTAGCAAAAAAAGAAACATGAGAAGCAAAATATACCCACGAGAAAAGGGAGATCTTTTGATGTTACATCATGCAGCAGATGGCCCTACGAGTAAATGGGTTTTTGGTTGTACACCAAAATAAAGAAAATATTGACAACTTGACAAGTCCGTAAAAACGATAGCACCATTTTTGAGGTCTGTTTGATTGCGAATGCTCAGTAAATGTGTGCGTTCTGGCAAATGACCGGCGAAATTGAATTTGTAACCATTATAAAAATGATTCGGCAATATAGATCTCGGAAATCTTGTACTGCGGTTATCTTTACCACGGAACAACTTCACACAGTTGAGTAAAGTGATCTACCGATATTGCAATACCATGTAACAATGCGGGCAGCAAGTGACCTTTTTTTTCTATTTCTCTCTTTAATTAGCTTTCTATGATCAATTACCACAGTAAACAAGAGGACCATGGTCTTGACTGTTACCTGAGTACGAGTTCCTCAGGCTATGAACGATCTCAAACAACAGGCACGTAGCAACAGGGCAGGGAGCCGGGGGGGGGGGGGCTGGCCCCCCACTTTTTTCCAAAGATTTCATTACTATTTGAAATGTTAATTGAAAGGCCGCCCCCCCCCCCCCCCCCACTTTTTGTTGTAGAATAGTCAAATAAGGATTTTGTAGTAGTGTATGAATAAATTTTAAAATTTGGTAAAAGAAGTTGGAACCTACCCCCACGAAATAGGATTTGTCGAGTTCGGACAATTTTCAATTTTCCTTTTTTTTCCCCTTGTCAAGTTTTTTTTTCAGGTAAGTTGAAATTTTTTTCTCTGACTTCCCCCCCCCCCCCACTTTCAAAAACGATGCTACGTCCCTGAACAAGATGTGTTTGTGAAACACTGATGCCCCCGCATGTCAACTTAGCGAAGGTTGAACTTTCTCAAATACAGATTAAATATGTTGGTATCCAAAGTAAGGTCTTGTTTCGAGGAATATACCTGTGAAATATGGAAGCGCTAACACCAACTGCTTAAAGATACGGAAAAGATTAAAGTTTTTTAAAAGTACTAGTAAGTCAAACATCAAGGTCAAGGTAGTTTGGTCAAAGTTATTGGTGTCCAAAGTAAGGTCTTGTCACAAGAAATACATATGTGAAGTATGAAACCTTTAGCACCAAGTGTTCAAAAGTTAGGGCCAAGGTTAAAGTTGGGTAAAATTTTGCAAAAATAGGTCAAACGTCAAGGTCAAATATGATGGTAGCCAAGGAAAGGTCTTGTCACAAGGAATACACATGTGAAATATGAAAGCCATAGCTTCA